GTGGTACACATTAACCCCCATTAGGGAGGTTCCACTAGCCATGTATTTGGACCAGTGTGTACGGCGTGTGACTGTCAGCCGCTGTGGATTTGGCCGGAAATCAGCGGTGACCTGTTTTCACAAATCAAGCGCACAAAAATGACACTTTTTTTCCTCTCCTATTGGGTGGTTTTTCACTTTTCTTTGTTGTTGTCATGGTGTTCTTGTAGCGGTCCTGAACTTGCTAAAAGATTTGACCCCCAATAGTTTTTGTGCTCATATCTTAGCGCGCTTTTTTTTCACGGCAAAGGCAAGGATGACTGGCTTCATCTCTGGAAAGAGATTGTGGTTTGGGAGGTGTTTGGGAAGGATTCGATCCGCTCACCTACAGCAAATGCGGCATGGAGTTACTACTGCCCTCCTTCAGCTAAGATCAAGTGTAGTATCTGTTCTGATCAGTTTAATATCTGATTAAAAAAAAAAAAAGAATTTCTCCTTCTTCTCTTCTTCTTCCTCTTCTTCCTCTTCTTCTTCCCCCTTCCTGGTTGTTCCATCTGTGTGGTTTGTCCATCATGGTGTATGGTATCTATGATATGATTACGACCAACTACTCGCACAGTCACCGCTGTAGTAATTACACTATGGTAGTGTGGCTGTGAGTCACGTGAGTCTGCTCGTACATGAATACCTTCTTGGTTGACTAGGACCTTTGCTTTTCTTTCTCCACCATGTCTAACCCCAACTTCATCCCTATCCGAAGGTGTTCGGTTATGAGTCGTCTCCTCCTCCTCCCCCCCTTTTTTCTCCTTCTTCTCTTCTTCTTCCTCTTCTTCCTCTTCTTCCTCTTCTTCCTCTTCTTCTTCCCCCTTCCTGGTTGTTCCATCTGTGTGGTTTGTCCATCATGGTGTATGGTATCTATAGTATGATTACGACCATTTCAAGGAAGCCTCAGACTATTGTCAATGAATATGGTCCATTTTCCCACTCACATGCAGTCGTTTTGACTGCCACAGCCATGGTCAGTGAGTCATACCCTGAAATCTGACACCCTGCCTGGAGCAGACACGATCAGTGGGAAGAGCACGTTCTTTCCTTTTTAGCATTTTTCTCTTCATTGTTGTGGTCATGAAATGGTTTTTCGTTGTTATTTTCCCTATTTCACACTGCCACCCACTCGTCCCACACCCATCCCACACCCCTCCCACACCAGTCCCACACCCGTCCCTCACCGTCCCACACCCGTCCCACACCCGTCCCACACCCGTCCCATACCCATCACACAAATCCAAATACATGGCTAGTGGAACCTCCCTCCAGGTAAACATTTCCAAAAGCCTGGCATAATGTGCTACTCTTTCTCTACATCGAGTGTGATTTTCTTTTCTTCTTTTTTGGGAAAAAGGAGGTAACCCTTAACAGGATTGTATCCAACACGATGTGAAGTCCTTAATCCCCATCTCAGTTAACATGCCTGTACCATTCAGCCCCTACTGTCTTCCCCCGTGCACAACACACACCCTCAATATGACTGTTTCAGACCGGTTTTATAGTTTGTAACTTTGTATACATTCACAATTTGCATTGTGTTTGGGGGAACACAACAAACCCTCAATATGACTGTACTGGACCGGTTTTATAGTTTGTATACATTCACAATTTGTGTGCATTGTGTCTGGGGGAAGATGGTACACCACCGTATTTAGAAGTGGGCCTACGGTAAGAAAAACGTTGCTCTAGGCTTTCTTCTTGGTTGGTTCACAGGCACTAGCATGGCTGCTATGGTGCATGCAGCGTCATTAACAGTTATGGGAACAACCTGCTAGGTTGTGTGAGTTGATGAAAAACAGTGCCAGAGCTATTACAAACAGGTCCAGAGAAAGAGTAAATACTAAATACTAAAACCTCAAACAAAAGGCTGGACATGTTTGTCTGACTCTATCATTTTATTTCACCTTGTTTCGACGTGTACTTGAACCTCCAACTTCATTACAACCATCCATTTCGGTCAATGGAGCTATAAGCCGCATTTCGTCTAATCTGCGCTATGTTTGCGAAAACCTAATGGTCCCTGCCATCAACCCCCACAAAAGCACATGCAGTCTTGGGCGGAGTCGGGAGATTCAGCACAGAGCACCATTAGTCGTGACTCGTGAGACATTCTGAATTCAATCGAGCAAGGGACCTGTTAATGTCGTGCCAGCGCCAATCTCCTGACTCAGAACCGAGCCCAAGAGGCTTGCTGATCATCCTTGTGGGGAGCCTTGGCTGCAGGTGCCATGAAGCTTTTCTTCCTGGTCATGTAACCTCGCACATGTTTTTGGATCAGCGTTGCAGCTGCGTGCTGACTATTCTTGCGTTTGGAAGCGTCGATGGCGTCTGTAGTCACTGTGGGCTCTCCATCCCGCTTGGGAACAGCTGTCGCTGTAGTATCAGCACCTGGTTCTGCCACGGCAGCTGCTGCTGGGATCGGTTCAGAGACTTGCTCAACTACTGGTTCTGGGACTGGCTGCGGGGCTGGCTCTGGAATCTCCTGCTTGATTGCGTTTGGAACTGGCTCTTGGGCTGGCTGTTCACTTGGGACTGATTCTGGGACATGCTTTTGGACCATCTCCGGGACCTCTTGTGGGGCAGATTGTGCTGGCTGCGCAACCAACTGTGGGACCGGCTGTGGGACCGGCTGCGGGGCCAGCTCTGCAACTGGTTCTTGGACCTCCCCCGGGACCACCTTTACGACTGGTTCTGGAACCAGGTCTGGGACTGGTTCTTTTGGTGTCATCTCTACGTCGCGGGCTTCAGCTCCCGCCGTATCCAATATGGCTGCCTGGCTTTTCCTTTTCGCCTTAGCGACTTGCAAAAATTTAGAGGTCCGTTTACGAGCCAAGTGCCCACGCATGTGCGCCTGTATTTGAATGGCTGCATTTTCCACTTTGGACAATGACGCCCTTTGCGGCCTGATTGGCTGTGGCTGGGCTGTCTCCAAAGGCGCTACCTCCGCTGGAGGGTTGTTGCCCGCAGCAGGGAGGACCCCTGCGGTTTGAATGTCTGTTGCTGGAGAAACGGGCGTCCCAGCAGCCACGGTATTGCCTGTATCCGATGGCAGTTCTGTGACTGGAATCTCGGTTGCAGAAGGGGGGGGGGGCATCTTTATGGCAGCAGTGTCCCCGTCCCCAAACCTTGAGATTTCCGCTGCGCTGGACACAACATCATCAATCGCAGTCAGTACCCCTTGGTCCTCAGGACCCCTGATTGCCGTGCCCGTGGAGATTTGTGTCATTCTACCGCCTCCTTCGCTGGTTGCCTCATCATCATCATCGTAGTAATGGATTGGAACATCTCGTTTGATACTACCTGGTGATGACGGCGAGGACGACGGTGAAAATTGGTCCAAGAATGCTGCGCCTTGCTCAAATGGACTTGCTGGGTGGCCCTCGGTTTTCGATGCCCTTGTCCAGGAGACATCTGGTGGTGCGCTACTCTGGCCCTCCACCAAGGAAGCAGACACGCTTCCTTCTCTATGTTTCGACGTGTCGAGACCAATAGACTGCAAAGGATCTTTGCCGTCGGGACCATGCTCTGGTGGCTGCGATCCTCCTGAGCTAGCGCTCGAGAGTACATCTCGGGGTACCCATTCCTTTGTACGATGTTCGACAATGCTGATTGTTTGCTCTGTCTTCTCGTCTCCCTCAAGGGTTTTCTGACTGGCACTGAACTCCATCATTGCTGCCGCATGATGACCGATTACCATCAGGTTAGGGCTTCTACTCTTGGACCCACCCCCGACCGCTGATGAGGGAGGGGATTCAACCTCTGGTATCTGTTCTGCAATAGTGGAGGCCACATTGCCAGTGCTGCGTCTCCTGCCCGCCTCTCTGTCAAACCGCGAAGCGCTCTGCAAGCTGATGTCAGGGTCAGAATGTCGCTTGCGCATCTTCTTTGCCTTCTCTCTTTCCCACTGGAAGACGCTTGGTGCTCTCCACATGCCTCCAATATCAGCAATAGCTATCTCACTGGCAGCAGAGTTCCTCCGCACCTGAAGCAACTGACGCATTCGACTCGTCCTCTTCGCGCTAAGGAATCTTCGCGCAAAAGATTGGATCGTAACTGCAGCTGCGTCTTTTCGCTCCTCCTCGCTAACTCGTTTGTCAGTCAATTCCTTCAGTTTCCGAGTGTGAAGTAGCGTCATTGGCTGCTGACCTTGCATTCTTGCTGCAAACACACATACCGAGCGACAAAAAGGCAACTATTTTATAACTTTATGGAAATTTTTAAAGCAAGCCATGGAAAGTCCGACTAACATGTCCGGCCTCTTCTCGGTAATGAATAAAGAGTAGAGTCCAGACTCCAAAGACAGGCTGCAAGAAACATACAAGAGGGGCGGCTCTGAGTGAAGCCCCACTCCTACTCCGTATTGGACTGCACTGCTTCGCATCTGGTGGGAGCTCATGCCCAAAAAAAGTTGGTGGACCTCAATCCAAGGAGGAAGTGCTGGGGCATCCTCTCTTCAGGAACCATGCATGGGGTTGGGAAGCCCGGGGCGAGAGATGAAGGCGACCACCGGCTGTCATTGAAGCCAACGGGTGGGAGATGGAAATCCTGGATCGATCATGGGATTGGGAAGGTAAGCCACATCCGGAATGAGGAAAAGAAGGATTGGTTGGAAGCACATGAACTCAGCACCCGCCTCAACGAAGAAATATTGCGGGCTATATAGGTCTGAGGAGGCAGCGGCCACCAAATGAATTCAATTATGCTCTGTTATTGATCTTATGTTTATCAGGGACGCCGGACCCGGTTTCCAGCAGGTGACGCTCCCCACCAATAGACTGGAGTCACGTACTGTGCTGCTAGGGGTGGGTGCTCCTAGCAACACCCCTTAGCTAACAGTTACAGTGCATGTGATTTATTACTAAAAAAAAAAAAAAAAAAAAAAAAAAAAAAGCAATTCTCAACAGCATCCCCGAGAAGTGGAAGGACCTGTTGAAAGAAGATTTCACATGGAAATCAGGAGATTTTTTTTTTTTTTTTATTCCCTTCGGGGAATCAGGAGGTTGGGGAGTCTTGATTCAGGAAACGATACCTCTCAGTGCTTTCCAATTCTCCCATAGACAACCAGGCTCGGACCGCCTCGCTGTGTTCACTTCCTTTCTGATTACTCTATCCGTCCCCGGGTCCCCCTCAATTCATAACAGGGTCGTAGTCCAGATGGTAGTTCTCAGTTCGTTTCTGCTGTGAAAAGTGAGAGTGTTGGGTTGGTGCCACTTGTTGGCCTGAAACAATTTTCCAGATGGGGGGAAAAAGCGGTTCAAGAGCGGGAATTCGACCCAGTGGAGTGGGCCTGGCTCCCCTACAAGAATAAGACAACCAAACCTCCAGTTCAGATACCAGATTACACAGTAAAAATCATAATATGGGATTCAATATCAAAACAGCGCTAGAAAGCTTTCACTATCACGCTAAATTGACTATCTAGACTGTTTGGGATTTTCCCCATTCTGTTTGGTAGATTCCCACGCGTTACGCTATTATGGCTTAATTTCTGGAATGTAGGATCTGAACCTACAACAATGAGTTGCTGTTAAAGACGGAAAACCCCAAGTCCACCATAAAAAAACAGATGGTCAAAATTAATCGGACCGGAAGCCAAACAGATCTCCCAAATCCCATGGGAAAGAAATTCAAATCCATTTGCCTCGTCAAAATCAGGAGCCTCCAACGGCGCATATCATACGTCGCATATCATACATCGCATATCATACGTCGCATAACTGTCAGCCAATGGCTGCACATCAGACGAAGGCAAGCGACCCCCACATATCAGATTTATGTGTAGTAGTCTGGTTGAACAACGAACAAGAAGATATGTTACACTGCCTAGTGAAATGCAGAGAGGCTACTGAGCACTGGTCTAGAGCCTTCAATCTTTGGGGACTCCTGTTCCCCTCCTCCTTTCCCTGAACACCCAATACAACTCCTTCTATGGACTAACACTTCCTCTCACTTTCACAAGGCGGACAGGATCTGGTTCGGCATGGGCGACCGTGAGGCGGCGCAGCGCTACCGGGAGCGCTGCTCCACGGGATGTGGGGGGTGAATGGAGAGGCGGATATGGAGAAGCGTGCGTGACAGTCGACGGGTCGAAGGGTCAAATGAAACAGACAAAGCACTTCAAAAAGAAAAGAAGAAGAAACAGAAAAAACACTAGAGAAGATTAGCATGGCCAGTGTGGCCACAGAAAAACAGACCACACATGGAGAGAGAAACTTAAAATATTCTGGTTGCAGACCGGCCATTCCACCAACCGGGCCCATGCCCCGCTTAGGGAGGTTTAGGTCTGGTTTTGAGTATTTCTCAACGTGTTCACAATGTGGCCATGAGATTTTGAGATTGCATGGCATCAAAACCGGAATGAAACCTCCACAAGTGGGGCACAGGCCCCGGTCTTCATATAGTCCGAAAAGAAGCAGGTTGCTTCCTTCTGTTTTTTTAACTTTTTTCTGAGTACGGATCCGGGCCGCCCGGCCGACCGGCGCCTGCCCGGGGGAGGTCCCGGGCGGCCTGGCCGGGCGGGCGGCCCGGTTGGGGGCCGCCCCCCCCCAGCACACCTTCACGGCGGGGGGGTTTCGACCCCGAAACGGGTCCATTTGTTGTTGGCAGCGCCTACCGGGTCCGGCTGCGCCAAGAAAACGGCGCGTCGGGCCCGTGAGGCCTGCTTTTTTTTTTTGAATTTTTGACGGCCCTCCGGCCGTCGATCATCCATCCATGATCGACGGCCGGAGGGCCGTTAGTTTTTGGAGGGAAAAGCAAAGCCTCCTTTGAACATGCGATTGCCCGAGGCAGTCCGCATCGGCTTTCGAAACGGGGCCTGTCCTCCAGCCGCCTGCCTTCGTCATTGCGTCCGAAGTTCGTCGAAGCAGCTGGGAGCCCCATCGCCTGGGAGAGCCGTCGCCCGTAGCCCGTCGCCATCGCCATCGCGTTCCCCGTGACCCGTCGCCCCCCGTCGTCCATCGTCGTGCTTCTCCCTGCCAGCATCCACTGCCGCCCGTCGACGAGGACTGCCGGTCTGATCTTCTTCTTCTTCTTCTTCTTCTTCTTCTTCTTCTTCTTCTTCTTCTTCTTCCCTCCTCCTCCTCCTCCTCTTATTCTTCTGCTTCTTCTTCTCTCCTCCTCCTCGTCCCCCTCTCATCTTCTTCTTCTTCTTCTTATTATTATTATTATTATTATTATTATT